ACTTAAAGAAGCTTTCCAAAATGTAAGCATATTTATATACACTTATATGTACCAACAAAACATATTTCACTTACCCAAGGCAAACGGCATAAATGTATCTAAGGTGTTTTTACAGTGCTACTACAGGAAACAATCATGTTTTGAGAGTAAATCCCAACGCACTAATATTCTTCTGTGATGCAATAATGAGAGAAAGGAGCGGGGAGAGACAGTTGGGTAGGTGATAGAAAAATGAAGAATACAGCACTTTTTTTTTTTTTTACAGAACCGGGGATTGAACTCAGGCCCTTTCACTTGCCAGGGAAGCGCTTATTCCACTGAGCCATCTCCCTGGCCCTGAAGAATATAGCACAGTCAGAACAAAGTATGTCAGTGGCACACATCTATAATTCCAGCAGTCTAGGTGGCTAAGGCAGGAGGACTGCAAGTTGGAGTGTTGCCCAGGCAATTTAGTAAAAGAGTGTCTCAAAATTAAAAAAGAATTGGATCCAGGTGTGGTGGTGCATACCTGTAAAAACAGCACTTGAGAGGCTGAGGCAGGAGGACTGCTGCCAAGTTCAAGCCAACCCCTGCTACACAGTACTAAGTTCAAGGCCAGCCTGAACTTCATAGTGAGACTGCCCAGTTCCAAATTAAATAATAGCTGGGGATTATAGCTCAGTGTGAAGGCTCCAGGGTTCTATACTCAAAAACAAAGTCACAAAAATCCTATATATAGAGGCAACTTTGTTATATTTTTCCCACTTTAAGCCACTGCTTAAATACTTTGTTTCTTTAGCTTCCTGATCTTGCTTCTATAAATAGATTCTATCTCTTATGCTTAGGCAAGCTCCTTCCACACAGTACTTAATGACTTCATTTTCATTTCAAGCCTGTCAGCCTGAAATGTTGAAAAAGACAGCATGAGTCCTTTCACCTCACTGGGAATCAGTTTACTTAGCTGAAAAATAAGAGAGCCAGGTCAGATGCCCCTAGTCCTCTTCCCCTTCTAAACATGCCATGATGTCATGTTTACTGAGCTGGAACAGCTCAAATAAGGCGCTGATTCAAGCATTCCCGGTCCATTCACCGAGTGACAGCTATGGAAATATTCTTGGAGAAAAGGAACAAATGCAAACAAAGCTTCTGTTAATAGGGGAGAAAACAGGAGTTGAAGGAAGGGGAGGAGAGTGGGGAAAAGAGAGAATCGAGTTACATCATGTACAGGTGCAAATTCCCTATGTACCTAAAATATACCAATAAACTTAATTTTTTATTTGCTTATTTTTGGCTGGCACAGCCCACCCTGAGGGCGGGGCTGGTGCAGCATGTGGCGCTAGGGATCGATAAGCTTAATTTTTTTTTTTTTTTTGCTGAATTTGGGATTGAACTCAGGCCCTTGTACTTGCCAGGCAAGCACTTATTCTACTGAGCTATTTCCCCGGCCCCTGGTAAACTTAATTTTAAAAAATAAATATTCTTGAGGCTGGGGAGATGGCTCAATAGAATAAGCACTTGCCTGGCAAGTGCAAGGGCCTGAGTTCAATCCCTAGTTCCACCAAAAAAACAAACAAACAAAAATAAATAAATAAATATTCTCTGAGTAATTCCTAAAGTAAAACTACTGCTTTGAGGATATACTGAAAAAAAAAAAAAAAAAAAAAAAAAAAAAAA